GTAGTGATGGTACGATTCTCTCCCTTCCTCCCTGTGCTTATTTGGACCCCATGGCTCTGCCCAACCATTGCTTCCTTTGGTCCACCTTCCATCCTGCCCGGGTGGTCTTCGAAAGGGTTCGGCCTCCCCCTTTCTTGCTGCCCTTTCTCCAGGATACCTTGATGCGCTTCCCATCGGAACCCCCCCAGGATGGTCCTTGAGGGAAAACACTCTCCCCTTCATCATTGTCCTCTTGAATTTTCTTTCCCTTCATATCAGCCCTAGGAATAGCCCGTGAAGCCTTCAATTGCATCTCGATCAACTTCTTCATCATGTCTTTCAAGTTCTCAAAGCGGTTCTCAATTGATGAAACCCTTCCTTATAGTTGTGAACTTCTCATCCATTCCGAAATATTTCTCCTCCATCCTGGCCTGGAGTTGTTCTATCTCACCTTCCAATGCATCCATCTTCTTTGTTGCAATTTATCTTACTCTGATACCAATTTGATATGCCTTGAAAGTGAAAGTAGCGATTGAACAATAGAAAAATTACAGAAATTCTAAGAGTAATGGCTGATTTTGGATTATAATTTCAATATGAAAGCAAGATATAGATGATCTACAATTAGAGAGGTAGATTGACTCTCCCAATCAACCTAGATGCCGCTAGGAATCCCTCAAAGAAAAGAAACTACAGCAAAACATAAATCAAGACATAATCTAAAAATATAATATAATTAGCCCTAAATAGGCTTCTCAAATTCCTTTCTAAACCAACCCCTTTCCTTAATTGATTCACTCAATTCAAATTTGATTTGGATATCTTTCTTAAATAAATTCCCTCCCAATTATGATTATAACCTTCCTAAATATCCCTCTATATATTTCTCTTTCTTATATATTGAATTAGATATTTCCAAGGCCCCCACAAGGGGGCCAAACCACGCTTCTTGCTCTGCTGGCTCCCGCCCAACATTGGTGCAAGGTTCGATTCTCCTAAACTGGGCGGGTGATCCCCGCTCGTAGGAGGCCCGGACGTAACACAATCTTGGATATTCCCGCACATACATGCAATGTTTAAAATTACGTATTCGGGTATTGAGGCGTTTTTCATTCGTGAGGCGAGGCGTAAGCCTCAAGGCGTTTTGAGGCGTAAGCCTCAAAATCAAAAGTTTGCGTAAACATAAAATTATAATTTTTTTATATACTAATGAGTGAATAATATAAAACATAAAAAAGCATAAGATATGAAGTGAAATCAAAATATCTCAATAATAAGACAACATGAAATATAGTTCAACTCAAAATTCTATCTTTTCCAAATCCCAATATTTTTTTTCATTAACATATAATTCCAATTTTCAAAAATAAATAACATTGACATATCACATAAGAACTCATTAGTCATCAGCACTGTAATCACTAAGGGGTTCTTCATTTGAATCATCATTATAGTGAACTGCTCTCTCTCCTTCCTCCTCTCCTATAGAGTCCAATGTCGGACATTTACTTCAAGATTTATGTAAGTTTTAATATATATAGCGTGAGGCGTAAGCCTCATGCCAGTGAGGCGAGGTGGGCCTCAACCAAGTTGAGGCGAAAGCCTCATAAAAAAAACTCGAGGCGTAAGCATTGAGGCGTTTTTTACTGGAATTGCGCAAAGGCGGGCCTCATATTGCGCAATTTTAAACCATGCATACATGCAGAGCCTTGGTTTATTGCCACCACACTTAAGCACTACCATAAAGGCAGGTGATGACTAGTCATCATTAAATTCCAAAATCTGTTCGATGATATGGAGCCAATTAAGAAATTCATTAGCCTATAAACTTTCATGAGATTTCTGGATGTTGATGTTAAAGCTAGCTCCCCATCCCGGTTGTCTACGTGGGGAGGAGCAGGTGGTGGTGTGAATGGTTTTTCATTGAATATAACATCAGTGTCATGCGGTTGTTGATGTTGTAAATGCCAGGGATGGGCTGCCAATTGCTAGGTCAAGGCTTGGACCTGCTAGTGTAAATGCATAAAATCTTCATGCCGATAAAGTTCTTCTAGCGGAACATCCTTGTGGCAGTGAGGTAACTTTGCGCAAAATTGATGAATCTAATACCAAACTAATGGAACACTTTATACCGTCCTCAATAGGCCTCTTCAAACATCGTACTAGAGAGGCAAACTAGAAACAAATTTTGTGGCTGAACAGGATTTTTTTTTTAGTTTCCTAAAAAGAAAAACAAGACAACAACAAGTCTTTATTGTGTAATTCTTTTTAAATCTAATAAAAAAGCCATTTCTAATAATTTCTAATCAGACCTTTTTTTGGTACACCTCTACCTTTGTTAACATTCGCCAAATCTAATATATCTACTCTCCTAACCAAGTCATGAAGACTTAACATTTTATGTGATCAAATCATCTAAGACAACTCTCTCTAATCTTATCTACCATTGGAGCTATTTCAACCTTTTCACGTATGTACTCATTCACATTTTATCTTTGAGTGTAAAGCCACTCATCCACCTGAGCATCCTCATCTCTGCAACACTTAACTTTTTAGTTGATTTCTATCTTATAGTGAAATCGGTTATGAGTGTCATCTATTTTGTTGCTAAGTTTATATATAATCGAATATGTTAAGAAGGAAGCTTACAAATAAAAGATTAAATCCCGAAAAGCCCTTTGACAATTTATATGTGGCCATCAATTTAATCCAAGAGTATCACATTTATCCAATTTAATTCCTCAATTATAAAAAAATGATCCAAAATTGTTTCTCATTTAGAAATTTGTATATAAAATTGATATCGATTTAGTCTTTAATGGATCATTTTGGATCAATTTTATATAATAAAGGGACTTAATTGGAGAAATGAGGTACTAAATTGGCCACATGTGAACCAAACAAATATAGCAAAATTAAATCTTGATGAATTTATATTGGATAAGCAAACGTGGTTGATTACTAGAGATAATGTTATAAGCTAATAGACCCTGGAAAACAGATTTTTGACCAAGAATAACGCTGTTTTGTGGGATAATATTAGAAATTACGAGTCATTTGGATGAGATGTTGTCATGGTTACTTCAATTCACTCAAATGTAATTTGAATTTTGATGGCGACAGGGATGTTTTAAGCATTGCGAGATTGATTCCTTGCCAAATTCTGCTGTCTTGTCCTATTCCACTATCACAATAATGTTGTGATCCATTGGACCTCATTTCATTCCAGTTTTAACTGCTTTGGCTAATTTTTCAACCCGGTGATACTCAATTCCTGGAAAGGTTATTGTAAAAGATCTCTAAAAGGCCTTTCTTTAGAGAAGTAGCCTCTTGATTATATGAACATTAAGAGATGTTCAAGTACTATGTAGCAGGCATTAAGGTTTGTTGGTTTATTTGTTCAGTTTGGAATTGCCTGAATGATAAAACCATTTGGATCATCTCATTGTGATCTGACAATAGCTTTTGCTGTGAAAATGTATGAAAATGTCTCCTTTTTTTTACGGCTTATTTGTGCATGAAAAATTCAGAGGTGTTATTATCCACCAATCTCCCATTCTCATTCCTAATTTGCAGTTGCTAATGGTATTAACCTATGATGCACAGATATGGGCACAACACGGACATGAGACACGTCAATTATTACAAATAAAGGATATGAACATGGTTGAAATTATAATTTCTATATCTTAAAAATAATGTAAAGATATGATTGTTCGACAAGTTGTACACTGGCTATCTATTGCCCAACACAATCCTCTACTTTTCTTTTACAGAGCTTGGGACCCAATAATTGCAATGTCAAACTCTTTAAATATTTTTTGGAAGCTAAAAAGATGGTAGATGAGTGGAGAAAGAGTTTGTTGATTTATTCTTTTAAAAATAAGGTAATGCACAAGAGTATGAATTATATAGGAATTAAGTTAGTGTGTCACACATTAAAATTATGGGAGAGGGTAATTGAGTATAGGTTATGATATGATACTAATGTTTCTCAAAAATTGTTTGGATTCATTACCGGTAGGTCTAGTATGAAAGTTATACATTTGTTCAGAGATTTGATGGAAAAGTAAAGAGAAAGAGTAAGGAGGATCCACATATGATATTTATTGATTTAGAGAAAGTGTATGATAAAGTTCCAAGAGAAGTCGGGCATCGATGTTGGGCAATGGGTATTGGTTAGCCGAGAGTTGGGCATCGATTTTGTGCAATGGGTATTGGCATCAATGTCAAAGCCGTTGTCGACTGTCAATGTCAAAATGACATCGTTCATTGATATTGAGGTAACATTGGTGAAAGATGGGGTGTTGAGATTGCATGGGGGTGTAATTATAGGTTTAAAAATTGTTGGTGTCAAGAGTCAATGTCAAAATAGTGTTAGACATCGATGTTGGAGTGATTTTATAACATTGATGTTGTGATGGAATTAGACGCAATATTAAGATGGCATCGTGCATTGTTATGAAACCCAAGCTGCAACCGGCCAGACAAAAATAAAAATGAGAATGTTTGGAAATGGGGTATTGAGTTCAACTGATTGATTAACTGATTTATTTGAGGCTCTCGAGAGGAAACAAAAAAATTCTACTTTTATTATTTTAATAAATTAAAATTTGAAATGCAATAAATTATATATAATTTTTTTACATCAAGTTTATAGATCTAAATGAGAATTTGACTGTTAAGAGAACATCATGGAGAAACATGATTAATGTAGCCAATCCCATGTAGTGGGATGAATGTGTGATGTTGTTGTTGTTGGACACACATGTCCTATTTATTTTTAATTAGACATCTTCGGGTTGTCCGACACGTGTCGTTTTTTATATGTATCAGACATTGTATACCTCTTTGAGGAGTAATGTCCGTGCATCATAGATATTATTAACTTTTTAAATTGGCACTTTTTCTAATGCATTGTTTTCATCTTTGCTGTTAGTTTTTCTATTTGTCCTCATCTCATAGAAGCAATATGTGTATCTCATTTTCCTTGTCCCTTTTTTTTGGCTTATAAATTGTAGGGAGAATAAGAACCTGACTGGAACAGCAAGATATGCGAGCATGAATACTCATCTGGGCATTGGTAAGTTTTGTGCAGTCTTTCATAAGATGCTCTTAGAACTATCCGTTCAACTCTTCTGATTTTTTTGTAATATAATTTGCATTATACCTTCTACTGGTTTCCATGCTGAAATTAAGCTGTTAAACTCTTAATTATATTGCCTAATAAAATGTTTCCTTTGGTACATCTTCCAATGTCAAATTTCTTTGTGCTTTGTTCTTTTCATGGTATGAAGAGCAAAGCAGGAGGGATGATCTGGAATCTCTAGGATTTGTCCTGATGTATTTTTTAAGAGGAAGGTATGTTTTGTTTCTCTGAAATGGCAAACTGAATCTCCATTTCATTCCTGTTTACAGTTCTGTTTCCCTTTCTGTCTAGTCTTCCTTGGCAGGGACTTAAAGCAGGAACTAAAAAGCAGAAGTATGAAAAAATTTGTGAAAAAAAGGTCTCCACATCCATCGAGGTAATGTTCTCCACTCATCTTCAATTTAACAGCACAAACATTTGAATAATCTTGGTTTAACATTGCAATAAATACTATTTTACAGGCCTTATGCAGAGGTTATCCTACTGAATTTGCATCATACTTCCACTACTGTCGTTCACTGCGATTTGATGATAAACCTGATTATGCTTATCTTAAGAGACTGTTCCGTGATCTTTTCATTCGAGAAGGTTGTATCCATTTGCATTTACAACTTTTGAGATGTTTGATGTCCTCTGATGCTTCTGTTTTTTATGATTGGTATTTTTAGGATAATTGTCATTTTCATGTTTTTTCTTGTTTTAGGTTTTCAATTTGATTATATGTTCGATTGGACCATTTTGAAGTTTCAGCAGTCACATTCTTCAAATGCTCCTCCTCGTGCTATTGTAAGTCTGAAAGAAGTATGCTGTTCTTTTATCAAGCATTGTTATTTGTACATCTAATTTAGTTTGTTTTTTTTTTCCAGGGATCTGGTGCTGGACCTAGCAATGACATGGCTCCTGCAGATCCTAATCCTGAGAAGCAATCAGGTAAATTGATGCTTTTCTCTTGAATTACTTTTCTATAGAAATGGAGGAAAAGTTAAAATGCCACACTTGTAAACCTCATAAACTGTAGTTATCGTGACTGTAAATATAAAGTTGCATAGTTGTTTTCATGAATACAACAACAACAACATCAAGCCTTTGTCCCACTATGTGGGGTTGGCTACATGAATTCTTTTTCACCATTGTGTCCGGTTAAAAATCAAATTCTCATTTAAATCTAATAAAGAAAGATCATTTCTAATATTTTCTAACCAAGTCTTTTTAGGTCTATCTCTAGCTTTCTTAACATAAGTCAAATCTTCAGTTATTTTCAAGAATGTGATACAAAATATAAATAACTTACTGTTAAAAAAAAAACTTATTGTAACTTGCATTGCAAGTCAATGATATCCATTGCATGAAAGGTAATGCAAATATGGTTATATATAGTAATGTGGGTTGGAATTGGGTTCTTCATATTTGTGGTCGTCTTCGTGTGTTATATACTTTTCACTTAGGTTTCCAATGCCATTTATGTTCCTGATAGCTTATTTTAAATTTTGCTTAGCCGTTTCACTTAAATTTTTTATGTGGCCCTTTATGTGACCCAAAAGCTGACAAAAAAAGCAGCAGAAAAATGAAAATTAACGTTGCATTAGAGTGGAATTGCAGGTGAACCTTTTATTTTTTTGTGTGCAAAGATTTGTACAATAATCTTAAGAGTGCCATATTCACTGTTAATTGTGATAATTTAGATGTTTGAAGCATGAATATCTGAGTGCCTATTTATTACTATGCTCTAGGTGGTGAAGAAGCAAAGACAAGTGGTTTGTCTGCGACAGATCATTCCCGCCGGCGATTTTCAGCTCTTGCTGTATCTGCAGGTAGCACAACAAAGCAGAGAAATCCAATTGGAAATGATTTACCAGCTATGAAAGATGTAAGTTCTGTTTCTTGATTAGCCACTGCTTTTATGATTTGTAACGTCAGCTTTCTGAGAGTTTTGTGATTATGATTTTTATGCAATATCAAACTATAAATATGGAAGTTGTATCATCTAAACAACTCTTTATTAGCCTTGTTATATTATTTTTTCTTCTAAGAAGGTATAATCATTAGTTATGAATATTTATGATTCCAAATTAAAATTCTTTTAAGCTATTAGTTTTGCATGATCCTTAGGCTGATGTTGATGTAAAAATAAAAGAATTACTATAATTTGTAGATCATTTTGGTTTTGGGCAAGTTCACTTTTTACGCGCAAGGATATATATGCAGAGTAAATTGACAAACATAGAGAAATATCAAAATGGTCCCTCAACTCTCTGTAAGGGACCAAAATGGTCCCCAACTCTTTTGAGGGATCAATTTGGTCCCTCAACTCCTTGAAAAGGAGCCTTTTTAGTCATAACATCAAATTTTGAGGTTAATGGTGTTAAATCAAGAGGCATTTTGGTCATTTTTAATTAAATTATTTGTTAAATGTAATTTTCAAGTAATAGTTTTTCTAAAAAAATATTAAATATTTTTTTATTGAAAAAATTATTAATAATTCTAGTTTATTAATGATCCTAAATTAAAACTAGAATTATTACTAATTTTAAAATTAAAATTAAAATTGTTAATAATTTTTTTTATTAAAAAATTTTTAATAATTTTTTTAAAAAAGTACTATTACTTGAAAATTATATTTACTAAATAATTTAATAAAAATAACTAAAATATCCCTTGATTTAATACTATTAATCTCAAAATTTGATGTTAGGATAAAATATATTCTTTTTTAAAGAGTTGAGAGACCAATTTGGTCTCTCAAAAGAGTTAGGGACCATTTTTGTTCCTTACGAAGAGTTGAGAGACCATTTTGATTCTTTTATCGACAAAGATATCATTAATATGAAATTTTTATATGTAAATATGGAAGCTTCAATCCAATGCACTTTAGTTGCCCGTTTTCATCTAGCCAATGCAACTTCATGAATTTTGAACAACGCTATACAACTGTTTAAAATCCAGGCAGTCTTGGTTGGCTGATTTGACTTTTTTACCATAAATTGGATACCGGCAGGGTTTGGTTGAAACTGTTATATGGACAACTTCTAAAGCTAGAAAAAAAAAGGAATGAATCAGTTGGGGTCTGCTAGAACCTGTCAATTTGACAAGCTTGGTCAATCATATATGCCTCTTAAACAAAGCATTAAGATTTAATTGGCATTTACTGTTCCTATTTTTCCAGTCCCTACCTCTCTCTCTCATCAAGTTGTCTTATGCATATGCATCACAATTCACAACAAATCAAATCAGTCTAAATTGGCGTTAGTCGTGGTTGTCGGACACAACAGGCAAAGTTGATTGAATGCACCAATTGATATTAAAACCATTGATTATCACCTGATTCACGAAATGGGCTTTGTCAATGCATTTGGAGTATCATCGACATTGCTAAGGAGGATTTCCATGATTAATTCAATCGAACATGATGAAGATGGTGAGCAATGGATGTGATGTCATGCTAAATTGCTCTACCACCACCTGTTTCACATAACGGATCACGCTGACATGTCTGGGATGTTGAAAATATATGGAAAGGAACTCTCGCGCTCAATTTGATCAACACGATGAAGATAACGGACAACAAATGCGACATTCCACAAATTGAGTTAGAAATGCCTAAACCATGGTCACAATCACTCGGAACTTCACCGGTTCACAAAATAGACATCGTAAACTCCTCTAGAATGTTAAATTACTTAGAAAGCACCCATATTGGTCTATCGTCCTCATGAAGTCGAAACATAAAATTATATATATAGAGAGAGAAAGTAATAAAAACCTCAAAATTCTGCACCTGTGATGATGACTTCTACTTTGTCTATTAAACTGCACATATGTCTTGTCTCATTTGGCTCTTAAAAAAAAACTAAACTAAAGGTCACACTCTATTTTACTTACTCTCTCTATTGCTCTCCACTCATTCGCTTCCTATTTTTTCTATTCCTACTTGACTACCCAAACCCACCTGCTTGAATGCCGATGACACCTCCCTTCTTTGTTGACCGGCATAGCTCAACCCACCTTCACAGCTGACGATTGCCATCTCAAACTCATCTTTCCTCGCCTGGTGATCTATCCACCCAAATTGCCCACTGTGTTGGCAAAGACCCCATCACCGACCGCCCTCAACTTCAAACACCATTGGTCCATTGCCAATCATCTCAGCCAATCTCATCAACCTCCAATAAACTATTCTGGAAACCAACACAAACAACTACCTCTACTTCTCTCTCTCTCTCTCTCTCTCTCTCTCTCTCTCTCTCTCTATTTCTCTATGCAAGCTTTGAATTACAAGAGATCACCCTATTACTTGTTTTTGTCTTCAATATATGTTTAATTTGGTAAGAGGAAAACGCTAGTTATATTTGGTCCTTGAAAAAAATATGGAGAAAGACTTTGGATTATGATGGGGGTTCGGGAGAGATTTTTTGTAGGTTTGGGGGGGGTGGGATAGATGTTTTTCTCTCGTTTTGTTTTTCATTTCACTCTGCAAGCTTTGAATTACAAGAGATCACCCTATCACTTGTTATTTCTCTTTAATATATGGATCATTTGTGAAGAGGAAAATGCTATTTATGTTTTCTCCTTGAAAAACATGGAGAAAGACCTTGGATTTGGAAGGTTGTTCGGGAGATAATTTTTGTAAGTTTTGGGGGTGGGATAGATGTGTTACCCAACCATGATTATAGAGAATAGAAGCGTCCATGAGAAAGGTGATATAGAGCAATTGATTGGGAATAGGATCAATATTTTTCTTGTTTTGTTTAAAGGGCTTACAACTAACGAATCTGTGATCCCTATCAAGTGTCATACGTAGCTTCCAGACCCATGCTAAAACATTGGAAATGGGTGGCCTTCAAGGGTCTGACGTATATGCTCACTCTATCTCTACTCTCACATTATTCAGTGTCCTGCAAAAAGATGGAGGAATTGTGTGATGAACATATAAAAGCTCTTTTTGGAATTAGGAAACTAATATACGCAGAATAACAAAGATGGAGAAAAGCCTTGTTTGACATTAGGAAAGCGCATTTTTTTGTTTCTTATGTTTTGTGTGTGTGTGTATAGGGGCGGGGGGACCATAGGCAGCTTTTGGCCCCTACTTCTTAGAGAAATTATATTTTTAATGTTGACCACTTAACAAATATTGTATATCTTATATTCAGGATTGGTAGAGTGAAGAGAAAAGAAAGGTCATGCCACGTATGGGTTTACGAAAATACACTATTTTATCCTTTTTTTGTTTTTTTTTATTTGAGGTGGGGGGGGGGACTATTTGGATGAAATTGTGTGGGGAAGTATTATTTTGTTTGATGCTTTCTGCACCCTTTAATGGAAAAGTATACTAATTTAATCACTTATTGGAAAGGATTGCAAAGCTAAAAAATGACAGAAATGGACAATGTGAAATTTCTTGCCAAAAATATTGTTAGTATAGTTTATTTAAGCTTCATTTGGGACGGCTTTTTTCCTGTTTTTTAAAACAGCTTTTTAGTATAAAGATTAAATTTTTTGTGTTAGAAAATTATTTTGAGAAGCAATAAGAAAACCATCCCAAACAAAGCCTTAATCTCACAGTCATTATAATCTCTCATTGTAAGATACATTCTCTCATAAGTTTCATTTGATTTTAGTAGTCTAGTATTTTTTCTCACAATCATTGGTATGAGCTTGATATATAACCAGCTTTTAGCATGAAATTTGATGCCTTTTTTACTTTTCATCTCTTGATTGTCCACGAAGAAACAAGCAAAATAAACTTGTATAAGTCCCTCGGTTTAGCACAAGGACCTATCTACACTTGAGCCTTATTTCTATCTTTTTCCTCTACTCATAAATCAGACTTTAGCTTGTTCCACTAATTCATGACATTTTTACAACTTAAGTTGACATATCAACAGATTAAGTAACAAAGTACCATATTTTTCCTTATCAGGCAATGCCTGACCGTGAATGCATGTCCCATGTAGTTACCCAGTTCAGCTTTTTTGGGGCGCTCAAACGGTTCTGTAAGACGAACTGCTGCTTCCAGTAGCCAAGACATGGCCTTCTCCAAGGCACCATTTTTTCCTACTCTCACTTCTGAAGAAAGCCATGGCCCTTCCCAGAGAGTTCCAGGTGTTCAGATTTGTTCTCCAGTTATATATTCACAGACAAAACGCTATCTTTCTGGAAGGAATTCATCTAACTTAAAGAACTACGAGTCAACACTCAAAGGCATGGAGCGACTCAATTTTGATGGTGACAAGATTGTATAGTAATCGGCAGTGTTAAAGCTCTCCTTCGGTGAACTTTTTCTTCTATGTACAAAGTCTGTTTCAGATCCTTTGGTTTATGTCCAGTATTTTTGACTGAGCATCTTGAAGCTGCAAATTTTGATTGATTTGTTTAGACGAGCGCCATGAAAATGTGACAAAGCCAGATAATGAAGCTTATGTGGCTGTAAAAGTAAGATGGTTAGCTTTGTCATTCTCCATGGCTGCTTTTGTTTCCCTGTAATTTTTCTGATTTGTATTTGGTGTTCAACTGTCAAATAATCTGTATAATTTAAAGTTTTTTTGTCTTTAGATGACATTTTATCATCAATGAAGTATTTCTGTAAATATTGTCAGTGTGATCAATTGTTTCTTATGTGAAGATTCTTTGGAATTCTGAAGCTTTTTTGATGGAGAAAGATATCATGGAGTGGAATGGAATGAAAAAATTCCCAATCCTTATTTATTCTTATAGAGTACTGCAGGTTTATTAAATTTATATTTTTTGTATGTAAAAGCTATCATCCCTTTCTTTTATATTCCTATTATTTAGATAATAATATTGTATGCCATCTTATATATTGGTGTATTTAATATTCTTACGTATAACTACTTAATCATTCAAGTTGATTTATAATATGTTGTTATCATCAATAATATGTGATCAAAGGAATCAATACGGGTGGTTCAATATATTATTTGAGATTTTGACCATATTTACAGAAAGTGTCAAATCATGTGGTGTATTCACTCCAGTCAGCTTAATTAAAGTCTGAAATTACTGTAGCAATACGTCAAATAATTTGGTGCATTTAGTAAAATGCGCCAAACAGAATGATGCATTCCATTGAATGTGTCAAACTATTTGGCTTATTCTAGATATGCTAAATAGTTTCATGCATTCAACGGAATTCACCATTCTGTTTGATTAGTTTATTATTATATTTTTTTAATACTCTACTCATATTTTTAATTTAAATTATACATTAAACTCCTATTTATAATATTCTGAAAAAATTATCTCAAATAAAATTTTTTGCTACTAATATCATTAGTCAACTAAAAAAAAAACATAAATAATATACGGCATGCATATTCTACAATAATAATAATCCCATAATTTAAAAAAAAAATTCATCAAGGATTGAACACCAAAATATTTTCCTGTGTAATGCCATACCCAAAAGCTCCTAAGTTACAAATTTCAACCAATGATTGCAGCGAAGGGGTGCATAAAATTCCTATGGGCATCTCCAGTCGAAAATCTCATTTTTCACTGTAAAATATCATGAAACTAAAAAAAATGATGTGATTCATCTTCAAACGAACTCCATTTTGTCCTCTTTTGTGCAGGTAACGATCGTTCTCTTCTTTCACGCGTTTTTTTGCCAAGTTCGATAGAGATAAAAAAATGGTGAAGATGAACAGTGTAACGTGAATATTGACATCCAATTGTTCACCCACAACCAAATAGCGTAAGTTTTATGATTTGACTGGAGCTTGCGAGGGATACATTCAAGCATTTGGAGATAGGTTGGAGATGCCCTAAGTACCTCAAACCTCCGTCGTGGGCCGGACCTCATCTCCGGCGACCCACTTTAACGAAATGCAATGCTTGAGCTCATCGAAAGCCGCCGCTTCGACTTCGACATTTCCGCCGATGGTGTCGGACGATGAATTTTCCCTTCAAGCTCCGTTATTTTCTCTTCCTCTTCGTCGGGGTGTCGCTCATCTACCTCAATCGACGCCGCTGCTGGCGCTACCATGGTGTCGGTGTTCGGTGTCGGCCCTAACGATGCAGTAACTTCCCCCAAAGGCCGCGTCTTTTTAGGTTTCCGGTGGCAGGAGGCGCAGATTGCGGCGAGGATGGCGAGGGAGGCGAGGATGCTGGTGATGAAAAAGGCGTGGAAGGTTATGGGATGGATTTCTGGCGATGAAGGTAATTCTCTGCCCATAATATAGAGTAAGATATCTGGTAATTGCGTTTTAAATGCTTTCTGTGATGAAATCAATGTGTTTTGGTTTTCTTGTTCTGTGATTTCTGCTTATTTTGTTGGGTTTTGGGAGAATGGAGAAGTTATTTTTGACGTTGGAGGTTGTTTGATGGGGCGGTGAGGAAGGAGAAGAAGGGGGAAAAAATGGCATTGTTAAGGTTTTTTTTTTTTGTGGTGAAGAGGGAGTTTTGCTTGAGTCTAAAAATGGAGCAATTTTTACGTCCGGTCAATCGAATGCATTCAGAGGCTAATAATCACGCACCACGTCATCAAACATTCGGTATTTGACACTCGGTATTGCTCGATATATATTCGGACCGTTCTATTTTTGACCGGGCGTAATAACTTGTCCTAAAAATAAATTATAATGCTATATAAAAATATGATAATATTAGATATATAAATATATGATAATTCCATCGAAAATTCCCTCTTATTTTATTTAAGGTATTGGTTTTAGAAAGTTTGCTATGGAACATATAAATATAACTAATGCATTTAATGAAATTTTTTTTACCAAGGTTTTATTTTATTTTTTATTTTTTTAATATTTGTCTTTGGAGTTTAGTAGTGATGTGATAAAAATCAACTTGATCGTGCATGAATCTCGAGGCATATTCAAATTGGAAACTTGCGAAATTAAATTCGGGACCATCTGAGTTACGATTTCAGCAAAGTTATAGTCAAATTGAACGTATCAAAGAAACGAACCTAACAACATTAAAATCGATCCAATCCGAACTCAAAATAAGTCCAAATCGGGGGCCCAAACAACATTTGGAAGGTTCAAAAGCATTATTTGGATGATAAAATGATATTTAAATAAGGCATGGTGATAGTCAAATCGAGTGGCTTAGTGAGACGAATCCAACGAGCCCAAGACCACTAAATTCCGACATCGTTAAGGTACTTAAATAGTTGAAAAATGTTATATGATTGAAGGAATCAATATGGGCCATCGTATATAGCATTACGAACCTGCCCCGAATCTTTTCAATATTTACGCGGTGTGCCACCCATAAAAATCTATAAATAGACCCCCACTCTTTGTATGAGAGATACCATAGGGCTGAAGATTAGAGAGAGAGCTCTGAGGCTTCAAGAGCTCCAGCTCCATCGCCGGCAAACTCCACCTAGCTGCCGTCGGACTTTCACTCGACTGCTGATAGCTGTCAGACTTGCGCCTGATCGTCGTCAAAAAGATTTCTTGGGAAACTATTTTTCATAAAGTTTCTAGCAGATGCAATGATGCTTCTAATAAATTGCAAGATTTATACAATCCTTAGATGAACTTCTGCTACTTATACAAGGTCTTAATCTCGTCCTAAAGAAGGAAATAACGATCAAAAGTCAGGCCATTCTTAACATTTGATTCAGGATACACACGACATTCTCTCTCTCCAGTCAAGGCATAGTCGATCCTAGGGGGATTTGATTTGAACTCTTCCACATGGGTTAACATCATCGAGTAACATACTGATAAACAACCAATGATATGCCAAACATCTTAGGAGGATGTCAATCAAATCTTAAAATCTTTGATTTGAGAAATAAACAATTTTATTATATCTTAATCCTCAGATGATCAATCATAGAGGGATTCGATCTGATCTCTTCCACACATGTTAACATCATCGAACAACACTTTAACAAATAATCTTAGATTAGTCATACATCCTTGATGGATTTTCTCGATCTCTTTTATAAAAGTGAATGTCATCAAGCAATGATTTGATAAATAATCTTGGATATGTCATATATTCTTGGTGGATTCTCTCAGCCTCTTCCACATATGTTAATGTCATTGAGTAACACTTAGATAACAACCTCAGATATGTCATATATCCTTGGTGTATTCTCTCAACCTTTTTAACACGGGTTAACATCATGAAGCAATGTTCTGACAAACTACCTCAAATAGTTCAAACATCTTTGGTGGATTCTCTCGGCCTCTTCTATACAGGTTAACATCAATATCCTACTCTCATAAACCTCTGTAGTCTAAGGAGCTCGCACCATCTTAAACACTTCACGGGTAGAAGAAATAACTTCTAGCATATCTAGCGGCATACCGCCTGGAGGGGCATACATAAATAAATGGATAATACTTGAAGATTAATGCATCCATGATAAGAAAGAGAGAAGTAGGGAGAAATAATATACCCGGTGGATCCTACGGGTTCTTTGAAACTCGCCTCCTGTCAAATGAGCTAGAATCACCTTTTTGGGTAATATTCAGGGCACCCTCACATCTAGCTGATTACATCACCTTCCAATAAGAGAAACTACAGCTACCAGATCTTGATCGCCTTCACTACTAGTATTTAAACTCTCGCTAGACAATTTCCCCCAAGCGAGAGTGAACTGGAGCATGTGTAAAAGTACCAGGATTTGATCGCCGCTGTCAATATTTAAACTCTTGCCTGATGGTTTTTCTTCCAGTGGGAGTGAACTTGAGAATTCATAAGAGTAAAGGGCTTTGATCATCGCTGCAGGTATTTAAACTCTTGACGGATAGTTTTTCCCTCAGTGAGAGTGAACTAGAGCCTGCATAAGAGTACGAGCTTTGATTGTTATTGCTGGCACTTAAATTCTTGTCGGACAATTTTTACCGCACAAAGAGTGAACTAGAGCATGCGTAAGAGTACTAAGCTTTAGTCACCACTACTGATATTTAAACTCTTGTTGGGAAGTTTTTTCCCTAACATGAGTAAACTGGAGCACGTGTAAGAGTATCGGGCCTTGATCGCTGCAACCAATATTTAAACTCTTGCGATACAGTTTTTCCCCCACTGTGAGTGAACTAGAGCTTGCGTAAGAGTATCAGGTCTTGATCGTCATTGCAAAAAAAATTTAAACTTTTGTCAATTCGATTTCTTATAAATTTGTAGTAGAAATTTTTGGACCAACTAAGGGAAGTACCTTTTCCCTAGGCCCTAAGGGGTGTATTTATATTTTTTCAAAGGAGGTTTGGAGAGCAAATTTATGAATTTTTAATTAATTTTTGGAATTTTTTAATGCCCAAAAATTAAATAATTTCTACTATTAAAAAAATGAAATAGGAAATAAATTAAGAGCAATTTTATTTAAAAATAAAATAAATTTGCAGTAAATTAATTGTTTCCTTTCAAGAAAAATTCTAGATTTTTTCTAAGATTTTATGATTTTTTTTTAAATTTTTTGGAGCCAAATATAGTATTTTACTATTAAATAGTTTAATTAATTAAATTAATTTATATGGGGTGCAGCTAATATGTCACCAAACAACTATCTTGATCATGAATGAATCTCGAGGCACATTCAAGTTGGAAAATTTCAAAATTAAATTCGGGGCCGTCTGTCTGAGTTCCAATTTTAGTAAACTTATAGTCAAATTGAACATCTCAAAGAGACGAACCCAACAACACCAAAATTGGTCTAATCGAGGCCCAAATGGGTCTGAATTGGGGGCACACGTAACATTTGGAAGGTTTAAAGCATTATTTGGATGAAAAATGATATTTAAATATGACATGTTTATTGTCAAATCAAGCGGCTCAACGAGATGAATCCAATAAGCCCAAGATCGCTGAAATCTGGCTTGGTTAAGGTACTTAAATAGTTGAAAAATGATCTATGATCGTGGGAATTAATACGGGCCATCCGATGGAGCACTCTGAACCTGCCACAAATCTTTTCAATATTTATAGCATGTGCCACTCATGAAAATCTATAAATAGACCCTCACTCTCTATATAAGAAGGACCATTGAGCTGGAGATTTGAGAGAACTATGAGGCTTCAAGTGCTTCAGCTCCACTGCCGACGAACCTACATCTGCTCCCCGCCGGACTTTCCCCTTGCCACTGACCGTCCTTGACCGTCCTAGGAATTCTGCCTGACCGACATCAGATACTACCCAGCTGTCGACTGCCGTTATACTTTCACTTGGTTGGCGACAGTCACCAGATTTTCACTCTACCATCGTCGGACAACCTCCAGGTCGCTGACTTTCATCGGACTTCCACCTGACCATCGCTGGAGCATTTCCCGGCCGCCAACCTCCGCCAAGTTTCTACGCGGTCGTCTACCGCCTCCGAACTTTTACCAGACCGTCTTTAGACCCCAACCTAACCATTGATTTGCTCCAGACTTCCACCCAGCCATCGACTGCCTTCAGACTTCTGCCCGACCATCGTCGGACCACCGCCCAACCTTTGATTGCTGCCGGACTTCTACCTGGTTGCTGACTGCAGTTGAGCCTCCTCCTACGGCCAACCATTATTGTTCCCCAGCCAGGATGCCAAGTACGGTTCATCCAACTACTATTGCTTGTCGACTACGGTCAATCCGACCACCATCACCTGGTGATTACGGTCCCTCTGACTACTGTCGCCCATCGACTACTATTTGTATGAACAACGTCAACCACCCACTACAGTCCCTCCGACCTCCATCACATGCCAACTACGGTCCTTTCAACCTCCATCATTTACCAACTACAATCTCTCTACACTTCGTTGCCCGTGGACTACGGTCATTTTCAACCACCGTCTTTTGTCAACTGCGATCCCTTAGACCACAGTCATCCGCCGCCAATTAAAGTCCATCCGACCTTCGTGGTATGCCAACTATAGTCCCTTTGACCTCCATAGCACATCGACTATGGCCCCTCTCACCTCCGCCGACCTACCAACCAAATGAACATGCCACCTTTCTCTTGCGAATGGCTTCCTTATCAATGGATTCTTCCAACCCTAACTATGTAATATGTTCTATATGACACAATGAACCAAGTTCTTTTCCCCAAGGAAGGGCGCCATTTGTAATTGTCTAGAAACACTGGTGTAATCATTTCAACTAGGTCAGACCCCCATAGTTTGTTCGCTTTTTAGGATTTTCCACGTAAAAATCTTGGTGTCACTTATGACCCTTGCACCCCTTCTCTTTTTTTTCATGTGTGCTTGATTTTCGTACAAAGCTAAGACGTTAAATTTAATCTCTCTCTTTCACCACAAATGTTCTAGTCCGCAACAAGTTAGTAAGATAACCTAAATTCTAGTTTACTTAAAACAATAAAAGGTGATTGATTAAATTCTAATATATTAGAAAAAGTTTAGAAAACATTTTCATAAAAAGTGTGCCTTCAAAGAATAATGCTTGATAGTGAGTGTAAGTTTATAATTTTTAATGATTTATAGTCTTGTTGAATGGAAAG